GGAAAACAACACACTTTCTTATTATGAATGATCCTGCATTTCCTATGGGAAAAGTCTTTATTGTGAAGTGATAGCATGTTTCAAAATGAAGTGTTGGCTGTACTTTGTCGGTTTTCAGTACTGCCACAGTGCCACTCCTGGTTGTTTGGGGCACCTCAAAAACAGACTTAGTGAATGCACTATATCTTTTTTGGTTTGTGTTTTTGCTCTTTTGGTTTTTATTTTATGAATTTAATTGTATTTAATTTTATTTTTCTGAAAGAAACGTTTATTTAAGGAATACGGACTCAATGTTTTTCATAAGTACAACTTTAGGAATATTGTGATTACACACCCATCCTCCCATCCCTACTCCCACCCCTCTACCTCCTCCTTCTCTCATTCTCATTCCCATTCTCCACTAAGATCCATTTTCGATTGACTTTATATGCAGAAGACCAACTCTATGTTAAATAAAAAGCTCAACAATTTGCATGAAAACAATTGTTCCTCAACAATGGAGACAAAGTCTGTTCAAAGTTACTGCATCTTGAAGATAATTTCATTTTTTTTTAGAAAATTAACTTTAAAGAAACATCTAAGAATTAACTTTAATTAAAGAAACATCCAAAGAACAGCCAACACATCTTTGACAAGCACTTAGACATAATTATACTTCAACTCTTTGACTACAGAGGTCCTGCATGGGAAGTTAGTGCATAGTGACTCCTGCTCTAAATTTAACAATTAACACTGTAATGTGTGATGTCTGTGATCACCCCAGGCTCTTGACATGAACTGCATAGGTTCTGAAAGCCGTTTGAATCCACAGACTCCATAAGTATTTAGACAAGGCCATGAGCAAAGTGGAAATTCTCTTCTCCCTTCAGAGGAAAGCACCTCTGAAATCGGACATGCCCTCTAAAATCTTCACTGAAATGTGGCCCCTTTAGAGTTCCCCAGAATCGGCATTGGGGTTCCACATATGCTACCAGAATTTGGGTGCCATATTATTTCACCATGTGCTTTATAATAAATCTTCAATATTAATAAGCCTGAGAGGTTTCTTGCCTAATATTTAGAGAAGAATTCTAAATACCAGCACAAATAATTGCGGCAGCATGGTACATTTTAAGCTCTTATTTAGTGAGAATGATGCATAGGAGAGTGAGAGCTTTATTTTAAGAGAGAGGTAAATATGGGTTCATACAGAGTACCAGGAACCAGCCACGTGGAGGAGCATCTAGGCCTGGAAGCCTAGGGTGCATGGTCCAAAGGCCATTCGCCCTGGAGGCGCAGGGCTACAGCAAGCCCCCTACTGGCAAGAGGTCAGGGCCAAAGAGAAGGGGCAGACACACTGTGTCCCAGGATTTTAATCCACTTCCGAAGTGGAGTAGTTAAATAACCTGATTGGTTGGTGGACACGCTGGTGTGATCAGGTAGGGTGTGAGGTCACACAGGGGTGTGGCGAAGCCATGGTCTTCCAACTCACAAACCTAATCAATTTTAACTTACATGCCTGCCTACTTCACCTCCTTCTTTGATGACCACTTCTTTCCTCTGGGGGGGGGGGTCTCACCCAATGAGGTCTTTCATGTACAACAATTTGTTGCCACAGTCTCTTGGTTTTCCATGCCTGAAATGGACCTTTCATCTTGACCAGAATGCTTTAAGGGATGATTTTGAGGTCAGAGGAATACACTATATCTTTTAAAAAAATGTTCAAAGTGCACTCAGCTTCAATTTTTGAATATGAATTTTATTTTTTCTGGAATATCCTGTTTCTTTATGTTAATCTTGTATTCACTGCTCAAGTCAAATTTCACAATTCCTCTTCCACAAAGTCTTCACTTATCTATCCAATGTCCTTAGGTGCCTCTTCTTCTTGATCTGAACGCAATCTAAATGTAGATTTAATGCTCTCATGATCTGTTATCTAGAGATAATGGTTCCCTTCAGTGTGTAATTCTGTGCATATTTCATTTCTGAGACATACATAATAATCTTATTGAAAATCCCTCAATCCTAGGTCATCCAAAAACCAAAGCCTTTGTAACTCATGGTGGAGCCAATGGCATCTATGAGGCAATCCACCATGGCATCCCTATGGTGGGTCTTCCTTTGTTTGGGGAGCAACCTGATAATATTGCCCACATGACGGCCAAGGGGGCAGCCATTAGGCTGAACTGGAAAACAATGTCAAGTGAAGATTTGCTCAATGCCTTGAAGACAGTCATCAATGACCCCTCGTGAGTATTACTTTCATTAAATCTGTGTAATACTTACACATAAGTTTTCACCTGCAGGCCAAGAGTGCAACAGTTGAGTCTGAAAATGAGCAAAAACGTTGAGTACAAATTTTCTTCAAGTTGGCAGGAAATTGTCGAATAGTTCTTGTGAGTTTCATAATGTTTTTAAGTAGTTTTAAGAGACGGGTTTGTCATAGATTTTCAGATAGTGTGCATATCTGAAATAGCCTAGAAATGAAATGAGAGGTGTAACTGAAGACGACTACAACAGGATTAAAGGAAAGCATTAAGAACACAAATGCAGCAGGTAAGCAAATATGTTATAAATGTACTCACCTATTTTAAGCATATTTACGAGTGGTTTTTTTTTGGTATTTTTTAAGATTTATTTATTTATTATAAAGTCAGATTTACATAGAAAGAGGAGAGGCAGAGAGAGAGGTCTTCCGTCTCCTGGTTCACTCTCCAAGTTGGTTGCAACGACCAGAGCTGCCATCTTCTACTGCTTTCCCAAGCCACAGCAGAGAGCTGGATCGGAAATGGAGCAGCTGGGACTTGAAGCAGTGCACATAGGGGATGCTGGCACTGCAGGAGGTAGATTTGCCCGCTATGCCAAAGCAAGGACCCTTCAACAAGGGCATTTATAAGATGTTATTTTTATATTCTTAGGTGTTTAAATTTTAACTGAAAAGTCATCTTTGTTAGGAATTTAGAAAGCATTATGCTGAGTGAAATAAGCCAATCCAAAGGGACAAATACAATATGTTCTCCCTCATTGGTGACAACTAACTGAGCACCAAAAAAGAAACCTGTTAAAGTGAAATGGACACTAGGAGAAATGGTGACATAATCAGCCCTTGCCCTGACTGTTGATGAACAACTTAATATGTTATACCTCTTAGTATTTTTTTTTGTTTGTCCTACTTAATACTTTTGGTTGAATACTGTAATCAATACACAGTTATTCTTAAGTGTTGAAACTTAACTGAAAAGTGATCGCTCTTAAATATAAGAGTGGGAATAAGAGAGGGAAAAGATGTGCAATTCTGGACATGCTCAAGCTGACTTACCTCAAGCGGTAGAGTTAGAAACATACCAGGGGATTCCAATTCAATCCCATCAAGGTGGCATGTACCAATGCCACCTCACTAGTCCCAGTGATCAATTTCCGTTCACAATTGATCATAATAATAGGACTAAGACTCAAAGGGATCACATAAACAAGACTAGCGTCTGCAAATACTAGCTGATAGAATCAAAAAGGGAGATAATAATCCAACATGGGAATTGAGATACACAGCAGACCCATAGAATGGCAGATGTCCTAAACAGCACTCTGGCCCCAGAATCAGCCCTTAAGGCACGCAGATCCGGCTGAAAAGCCCATGAGAGTATTACAGGCATGGAAAGCCAAAACACTCTGGGGGAAAAAAAAAAAAGACCTACATGAAAGATGTCTGCGAGTGAGATACCAGTGGAAAGAACGGGTCATCAAAGAAGGAGGTACTTTTCTCTGAAGGGAGGAGAGAACCTCCACTTTGACTATGACCTTGTCTAAATAGGATAAGAGTTGGAGAACTCAAGGGGCTTCCATAGCCTTAGCAACTCATGACAAGAGCCTAGGGTGATTACTGATGCCATAAACAAGAGTGTCAATTTGTTAAGTCAACAACAGGAGTCACTGTGCACTTACTCCTCATGTAGGATCTCTGTCCTTAATGTGCTGTACATTGTGATTTAATGCTATAACTAGTACTCAAACAGTATTTTTCACTTGGTGTTTCTATGTGGGTGCAAACTGTTGAAATCTTTACTTAATGTATGCTAAACTGATCTTCTGTATATAGAGAATTGAAAATGAATTTTGATGTGAATTGAAGGGGGGTGGGAGAGGGAAAGGGGAGGGTTGTGGGTGGGAGGGAAGTTATGGGGGGGAAGCCATTGTATTCCACTAGCTCTGCTTTGGAAATCTATATTCATTAAATAAAAGTTAAAAAAAAAATAAAAAAATGAAAATAGGAAAGGGAAGAGGAAGAAGGGTGGGAAAGCTGTAGGAGTGTGGGTACTGTTGGAAGAATCACTGTGTTCCTAAGATTACATTTATGCAATTCATGAAGTTTATATACCTTAAATGAAAGGTTTAAAAATGTTATTTTTAAAATACATTCTACCATGTGTATTTCAAGTATACAACATGATGTTATGGGTTATGTGTAGATAGTCAAAAGGTTCCTATAGAGAAGCAGCTTAACATATTCATGATCTCACATGGTAGTTACTTATTTTTCTTTTTAAAATTCTAAAATGGCTTATTTTCCAGAAGCCAGCATGGCATAGTCCATTTCTAATTTCCATTACATTTATTGCTTTGCCACGTTTCTATGCTAACATTCTGATCCTGCTACTGGTATTGGTAAACAACTTGGATTTTCAGATTTACTCCTCTGAAAATTGTCTTCCTCCTGTGCATTCTTAATGGTAGGAAGAGGATTTCCCTCCACTGCGATTGTTTCCATGTCATGCTATAGCACTTTTCGGTTCAGATTTGGTAAGCCACATTGCTACATTCTATCACTAGCAACAATGCAGTTGCAATGTCTCAAAGTAAAATGTTGAGTACTCTCTAGATGCTAAGATCATAATACTAAAACAGCAACAACAACAAAAATAATAAAAACATTTATTGATGGTCTAATATTGTCCCGTCCCACGGGACAGCAACTGGGGCCGAGCACCTAGAAGGAGAAATGAAAGGGACAGGAGACACAAGGATGGCAGCAAGACAGGTGCCGATCAAGCTGCGACTTTATTTTTCAACCACACACTTATATATCATCGAGGCAGGGTATCGGGAGGGGGAAGGAGGAGGGGCTTATCTTGTAGCTGCAATGCTAATGCAAGTAGGGGAAAGGTTACAAGGCCTTAAGGCACAAGGTCACACAAGATTGCGTTATCAGTACTATCAGGTCTGGCCTGTCCAGCCCTGTCTCTCAACTAAGAGGTCACATGCTGCGTGGTCCCCGACATATCCCCCTTTCTTATCAATTAAACAGAAATGGCTACCGGTTAGGCCAAGCATGATGAGCGAGCAGTGCCTGTCTTAGGAATCGACCCGGGGCTCCATCACCTCTTACCCGTCATTGGATATCCTTGCCAGTCCCCAAGGACTCCTGTCTTAGGTGGGTGAGGTTCCGGGAAGGTGCCCGTCATTGGCTTACTGCTCATTTTATTGATAGGCCTGGGGCCCTTCCTGGGCTCCCGACTGGGGCAGCAGCAGACCGAAGGGGAGAGTCAGTTGTTGGAGGGACTGTGACCTCACTGGCCAGACTTCACCGGCCAGAGAGAGAGATAACGTTTTCCATGGGATCTTCCATGGCCAGACTTTGGTAATGTATTTGAATTGGTCTGGCTGTTAAATTATCTACTTGTTGTCTGATAAAGGTCATCAGCCTATTGAGGAGACAAGGACCTATAGATAGCACAACAAGCAACCCAACAATGGGGCCTAAAAGCGGTAGCAAATAGGGAAGCAGTCCATTCCATCCAGTCCAAAAGGGATTTTCAGCCATGGCACGTCGACGACGCTCCAGATCTTCTTGAAGTGTCTTGATTTTATTACGAACAATGCCGGACTTGTTAGCATAAAAACAGCATTTTTCCTGTAAAGCCAAGCAAATACCTCCCCGTTCAGCAGTAAGCAAGTCTAAGCCTCTACGATTTTGTAGAACCACTTCCGCTAGGGAATCAATTTGATCTTGAAGGTCCTGAATGGTGGTGGATAGGGTCTGCACATTATTAATAAGTTGTTGGGACAATTCTCTATATTTGTGGACCGCGATTCCTAGTCCTGTGGATCCTGTAACCATAGCTGAGGAAATTCCCAATGTGGCTAATAAAGGAATAAATTGAATAGCTCGTTTTTGTCTCCCTGCAATATAATCAAGGGAGGGGATAGGAACAGGGGTATCTCCATTGATAATCTCTATATCAGGAAAAAGTATAGCATGCATGCAATTACCGGTCCAATTTGTTGGTAAATGGTATAAGCTAAATTATCCCTACATACAAAAACGGTGGAATTAGGGGCATAAAGAGGGTAGTTTACTGTTACATTATTTGTACAGAAAGGAGCAAGGCCTACATCGATATCGAAGGGATTGTTGTTGGGAGGTTTATAAAGGCAAGTGATATTTTCCCTTGGGACAGGAAGAACAGGAAAGGGCTGCATAGGGGGGTGGCCCAAGAAACTATTGAACTCAAGGGTATTATTAAGCGGTAGAAAAATGGCAAGAGGAAGGGGGGGTCCCTGGCGTAAACAGAGCCAGCAGTCTCTTGCAAGGTTTGGGGCAGAGAGATTAAGCAGTTTATGGGTGTTGGTAAGGATATCGATGGTATTGACATCCAAGTCTTTATTTCCTCTGGAATGAACTTTAGCCAGGGGGTGGTATTGGAGGGAAGGGTAAAGGCTTTCAAATACAGTTTCGAGTACCTTTTGTGTTTTTAATTTAGTAAGGGTATCCTGAGGGCCTCCACTGTCAGACACTCCCACAGGGGCTATAGGGTACCAGCAGGCTACTTGTCCCTTAGTGGGGCAGGAGGGGGAGCTGAAGCGTGAAGAGGACAACTCTCCTCCGAACGTTCCCTCATAATCTCCTGATATAACGGCAAACAATAAACGCTGATTTCCCTTATTACAGGTTTGATACTGTGTATAACAGGAGGAGTGCACGGAGTAATGGATAGTTTTATTGCACTCTGATGGGCACTGATCCCCAGTGCGGTAAGAGTCTAGCTTAGGTTTGGGAACACAGAACCATCGGGAACCCGGGACGGTCAGATAAGCAGTTTTATCTCCGCAGTCTTGTGTAAAATGCGGCTTTTGAGCACGGCCACGGGTTCGTGGGAAAATACTATTATGCCCCCTGAGCAGGTACAAGGGTGATGCTGTTGAAGGTATTTTTGAATGCCCTGAGGGTTGTCAAGCCCTGCAAAGACTGGTGGAGCCCAATGGATGGTGTAGATTGCCATCATCAGGAGAGCAAGGCTGAGGGCCATTGTATTAGGGCCCTTTGGAGGGGTTAATCAGTGAGCCCTCAGGAAATGTAGCAGGGGAGGAGAGAATAGAGAGAAGATAAGATACACAAATAGCAACAATGGCAACAATTCCAACAATAATAAGGAGTCCTACGGAGAGATTGAGCATTTAAGTGATGTAACCTATGCAAGTTTTGAGCTTCCTGTACTGATCCCACAATTATGGGGAAGGTAAGCCTTGTAGCAGCATCTGTCTGGGCATTACCTTCTGAGTTCTGAGCTTTCTGCACTGATCCCACAGTTGTGGGGAAGGTAAGCCTTGTAGCAGCATCTCTCTGGGCATTACCTTCTGAGTTCTGAGCTTCCTGCACTGATCCCACAGTTGTGGGGAAGGTAAGCCTTGTAGCAGCATCTGCCTGGGCATTACCTTCTGAGAGTGACCCTGGTACTCAAAAAATGCCTTTAGATCCTTATTTTTAACCCGAACTCCTCGTGTCTTGAGGGCCTCCCTGAGACCTGAAATGAACATTTCCCGTGACGATAATGCCTGTCCCATGGCTGTCACTTACCTTGCGCCGTCTTCACTCCGCAGCGTCGACCGATGCTAATGATCTCGGGTGGGCAGTTCTGAGCTGGTCGCAAAATCACTTGGATCCAAGTTTTCCTCCTGGAAGGCGGCGTTCCTCCAATCTCACAGGCACTCGAACCCCAAGGGCCGCACTCGAGCCCCACGTTGGGCGCCAGTTGTCCCGTCCCGCGGGACAGCAACTGGGGCCGAGCACCTAGAAGGAGAAATGAAAGGGACAGGAGACACAAGGATGGCAGCAAGACAGGTGCCGATCAAGCTGCGACTTTATTTTTCAACCACACACTTATATATCATCGAGGCAGGGTATCGGGAGGGGGAAGGAGGAGGGGCTTATCTTGTAGCTGCAATGCTAATGCAAGTAGGGGAAAGGTTACAAGGCCTTAAGGCACAAGGTCACACAAGATTGCGTTATCAGTACTATCAGGTCTGGCCTGTCCAGCCCTGTCTCTCAACTAAGAGGTCACATGCTGCGTGGTCCCCGACATAATATATGCAAAGAATAATTGACAGTATTCTAAGAATCACTTAAAGAGGAACTCAGAACATTAGAATAAGAAAGGTACTATTCCTATCCATCCCATTTAGAAATGAACAACTAGGAATAGAGAAATTGATAGGAAGGACAAGGAAGTGTCAGAATCAGGGTTCAAAGCAATGTAATTAATTCACTATGATACCTTAATAGTTGTAGTCATTTATCCATGGATACAAGGCCAATATCCCTACTGTGGTTGGTGCAAACCTTATCGACTTTGCCCAGAAATGTAACTGCACTTTTTCATGGATCTGCCTTCTACATCTGCATTTTGATATTGTTTTGAACCTTGTACATAAAATCCTCCCTAATTCCTAGTCTATAATTCCAGTTCTACACATTCAATAATTTTTGGTTTTGTTTTTGTGTTTTCTTCTTCTTACATTTAGGACTAAGTGATCCCAATTCCTAGGGTGTAATGTTGGCAAAACTTATTCAAACCCAAGTTCTGTATATACATATTGAGTATCTACACATTGAATTTCTTATGCATCTAATAAATTCTAGCCTATTAGTTAAGATCAATATGTTAACCCTCAAAGAAAATATCATTTTTCTTCCATGGTTATGTGACATGCATTTTATCATCTACATGAAAATATCAGGTATCAATTTTTTGTATTTCATTCTGTAATTTGTTGTCTACTGGTTTTCCCTTCAGCTATAAAGAGAATGTCATGACATTATCCAGTATTCACCATGATCAGCCCATGAAGCCCCTGGATCGAGCAGTCTTCTGGATCGAGTATGTCATGCGGCACAAAGGAGCAAAACACCTTAGGGTTGCAGCCCACGACCTCACCTGGTTCCAGTACCACTCTTTGGATGTGGTTGGGTTCCTGGTGTCCTGTGCAGCACTTCTGATTTTTCTTGTCATAAAGAGTTATTTGTTTGTCTATCAAAAGCTCGTTAAGATAGGAAAGAAGCAGAAGAGGGATTAGAGCTCTTTCACACCTGTGGGTGTCAGAGAAATCAGACTGCTCCATTTAATTCAAGCACTTTGGATCAAGATGTGACAAGATTGGCACAGTTTTTGAGAATTGTGCCTTTCAGATTATTCCATATATTTAATTGTTGATTCGCCATTAAGGAATATGCAAGTCTAATTCCAGAAATCCATAAGCAGTTCTATTCTAATGCTGAATGAGGCAGAATATCATAAATCAGAAAAAAACAAAAAAGGCAAAAATAGATCCTTTAAAGTCAGGGTATTCGAGAAGTACAAGAAGCATGAATTTTTCATGTGCCTATGTAGAAATACCTCTGTGGGGGACCACAGGCTGGCCACCTGTGGGAACTTCCTCACTTTGCTGTTTGCATGGCCTGTTGTAACAACTTGTGCAAAACAAGTTAAGGAAGTGCTGGCTGCTGAGAAAAACAAGTCAAGGAAGTGCTAACCACAGGATGTCCTGAAGACACAAACAACCCAGATGGAGCAAGATGAACTTTCGACCTGAGGCACTATATGCCCTTCGACTTGATTGGACTGTGCCTGCATGGACTGCATGTGAACAGACTTGTCATTGGCTGGGAGTGTCCTGCTATGGGAACCTAGGGTATATAATGGGGATAGTATTGTGTAGGGGGATGAGGGCTTGGCTTCTTTTCTTTCGCCTTGCATCTGGATGAATAAAGTTCCATGAGAACCAAGAAAGCAGCGATTGTTTCTTTACAATGCTGGACTCTCGCGGGCGAGCGTCTGGCAACCTCTATTTAATTAAAAAAAAATCATGCGGACCATATGTGTCTGTGTCAAAAAAAAAAAAAAAGAGTGAGATTCTTGTTAAGGTTTGCATGATAATTTATTCAGATCACTGTAGCATGTGAAAATGACTATTGTATATACTGACCTCAACATCACCTAGGACAGAAGTGGCTGACTTTTTAAAATAAATAAAATGCACATATTGGATAATGAAGAATTGTGTCTCGCAAAAGACACCAAAGAAGTCTTTGCCAGTACTTATATCTTGCAGGGTTTTTTCAATGCTATCTAATAATTTGATGGTGTCAGGTCGTAGATCTAAGTCTTTAATCCATATTGAGTGAATTTTTGTGTAAGGTGAAAGGTAGGGGTCTTGCTTCATGATTCTGCACGTGGAAATCCAATTTTCCTAGCACCATTTATTGAATAGACTGTCCTTACTCCAGGGATTGATTTTGGATCCTTGATCAAATATGAGTTGGATGTAGATGTTTGGATTGATTTCTGGTGTTTCTATTCTGTTCCATTGGTCTATCCATCTGTTTCTGTACCAGTACCATGCTGTTTTGATTACAACTGCCCTGTAGTATGTCCTGAAATCTGGTATTGTGATGCTTCCAGCTTTGTTTTTGTTATACAAGATTGCTTTAGCTATTCGAGGTCTCCTGTGTCTCCATATGAATTTCAGCATCATTTTTTCCAGATCTGAGAAGAAGGTCTTTGGTATCTTGATTGGTATTGCATTGAATCTATAAATTGCTTTTGGGAGAATGGACATTTTGATGATGTTGATTCTTCCAATCCATGAGCATGGAAGATTTTTCCATTTCTTAGTATCCTCTTCTATTTCTTTCTTTAAGGTTTTGTAATTTTCATCATAGAGATCTTTAACGTCCTTGGTTAAATTTATTCCAAGGTATTTGATTGTTTTTGTAGCTATTGTGAATGGGATTGATCTTAGAAGTTCTTCCTCAGCCTTGGCATTGCTTGTGTATACAAAGGCTGTTGATTTTTGTGCATTGATTTTATACCATGCTACTTTGCCAAAATCTTCTATGAGTTCCAATAATCTCTTAGTAGAGTTCTTTGGGTCCCCTAAATGAAGAATCATATCATCTGCAAAGAGGGATAGTTTGAGTTCTTCCTTCCCAATTTGTACCCCTTTAATTTCTTTTTCTTGCCTAATAGCTCTGGCTAGAACTTCCAGAATTATATTGAATAGCAGTGGTGAGAGTGAGCATCCCTTTCTGTTACCAGATGTCAGTGGAAATGCTTCCAACTTTTCCCCATTCAATAGGATGTTGGCCATGGGTTTTCATAGATTGTTTTGATTGTATTGAGGAATGTTCCTTCCATACCCAGTTTCCTTAGAGTTTTCATCATGAAAGGGTGTTGTATTTTATCAAATGCTTTCTCGGCGTCTATTGAGATAATCATATGGTTTTTTTTTTCTTCTGCAGTCTGTTAATGTGGTGTATCACACTGATTGTTTTTCACACATTAAACCATGCCTGCATACCAGGGATAAATCCCACTTGGTCTGGGTGGATGATCTTTCTGATGTGTTGTTGCATTCTATTGACGAGAATTTTATTGAGGATTTTTGCATCTATGTTCATCAGGGATATTGGTCTGTACTTCTCTTTCAATGCTGCATCTTTTTCTGGCTTAGGAATTAAGGTGATGCTGGCTTCATAGAAAGAATTTGGGAGGACTCCCTCTTTTTCAATTGTTCTGAATAGTTTGAGAAGAATTGGAGTCAGTTCTTTAAATGTCTGGTAGAATTCAGCAGTGAATCCATCTGGTGAAACCCTGCAAGATATAGGTACTGGCAAAGACTTCTTGGAAAACACCCCAGAAGCACAGGCAGTCAAAGCCAAAATTAACATTTGGGATTGTATCAAATGGAGAAGTTTCTGTACTGCAAAAGAAACAGTCAGGAAAGTGAAGAGGCAACCAACAGAATGGGAAAATATATTTGCAAACTATGCAACTGATAAAGGGTTGACAACAAGAATCTACAAAAATATCAAGAAACTCCACAACATCAAAACAAACAACCCACTTAAGAGATGGGCCAAGGACCTCAATAGATATTTTTCAAAAGAGGAAATCCAAATGGCCAACAGACACATGAAAAAATGATCAAGATCACTAGCAATCAGGGAAATGCAAATCAAAACCACAATGAGGTTTCACCTCACCCCAGTTAGAATGGCTCACATTCAGAAATGTACCAACAATAGATGCTGAGAGAATGTGGGGAAAAAGGGACACTAACCCACTGTTGGGGGGAATGCAAATTGGTTAAGCCACTATGGAAGTCAATCTGGAGATTCT